CTCCATCCCCAGGTTGTTTTGACACAAATCCTACATACCATATCATGTTAGGCAGCTTCCATTTCTGAAATATAAGGCTAACATAACCTAAAATATAAGGTTGTTTAACATAACACTGTTAGTGCACTCTTAAAAACCTTCCTGTTAAATACCCACTCGGGATCCAGATTACTCACTGGCTCATTATCTTTTTGACAGTTTGACCAAATCAGTATCCAGAGTCCACACACTGCATGTGGTTATTCTGTTTTAAGTCTCTATTACTCTGTAACTTTCTTCTCTTTTATTCTTTCTTCTTTCCCCTTTTAAATTTGTTTGTCAAAGAGGCTGGGTTACTTTAAAACATTATTGAAGGGCAGCACCTGTGGGTAGGGTACCAGCCCATACACCAAGGGTAGCACGTTTGAACCAGGCCCTGGCTAAACTGCAACAAAAAAATAGCCAGGCATTGTGGCGGGCACCTATAGTCCGATCTACTCGGGAGGCTGAGGCAAGAGAATTGCCTAAGCCCAGGAGTTGGAGATTGCTGTGAGCAGTGATGCCAGGCACTCTACTGAGGGTGATACAATGAGACTCTGTCTCTAAAAAAAAAAAAGCCTTAAATAAATGGAAAGATATCTCTGTTTAGTCTTTAAATTCTATTTTATTTCATTTTATTTTTTTTGAGGCAATCTTACTTTGTCACCCTCAGTAGAGTACTGTAGCATCTCAGATTATAGCAACCTCAAACTCTTGGGCTCAAGTGATTCTTTTGCTTCAGCCTCCCAAATAACTGGGACTATAGGCTCCTGCCACAATGCCCAGCAATATTATAGAGACAAAATCTAACTCTGGCTCAGGCTGGTCTCAAACTCATGAGCTATCATGCCTGGTCTATGATATGCAGGTTTATACAATTTTAAACTAATAAAAATTTATGCAGTAGAATATTATTTGGCCATGAAAAGGAATGAAGTACTGATACAAACTGTAACATCATGCTAAATGGAAGGAGCTAGACATAAAAGTACTTTTCAATTCCACTTATATGAAATGTCCAAAACAGGCAAATTCCACTTAACAGAAAATGACCTGATGCATCCACAAGAAATAATTGGTAATTCAAATTGTTATAATAGTGAAATCTCATTAAGTAGGTTTCTCCATTCCTGAAAGGTGCTGTTTTCTTTTTAATTTTTTTAAACATCAAATCTAAACTGTCTTATTTATTTATTTACACAGTCTCAAGCTGTCGCACTGGGTAGAGTTCTAGGGTATCACAGCTCACAGCAATCTCAAACTCTTGGGCTTAAGCAATTCTCTTGCCTCAGCCTCCCAAGTAGCTGGCACTATAGGGGCTGCCACAACCCCTGGCTATTTGTTATTGTTGCTACCATTGATGTTTTAGCTGGCCCGGGCTGGATTCCTGCCCACCAGCCTCAGTGTGTGTGGCCAGTGCCCTACCCACAGAGCTATGGTCACTACCCTAAAGTACTGTCTTATTTTCTTTATGGTACCAATTACTGTCTAAAATTATTTTTCTTCTTTATTTATTGACTCTCCTTTTCTTACAATAATGTAAGTTCCATAAGAGCTGGAACTTGTGTCTGTCTTATTCCCACCTTTGTCTAGGTTAGTACCTAATACCAAGTGTTTGAAAAGGATAGGTTCATTGAGATGAAAGAATGAGTGAATGAATATTTGTATTTTATAACCTACCTAACATAACCTTTCATTAAGGAGTATTTCAGATAGGACGGTATCTCATTAAATCTTTTTATATTTCAGACTGCTGCACTTAGGGCTGTGGGCAACATTGTTACTGGAACTGATGAGCAAACACAAGTAGTTTTGAACTGTGATGCTCTTTCACACTTCCCAGCACTCCTGACACATCCCAAAGAGAAAATTAATAAAGTAAGTATTCTTGAATACTACTTAAGAAATAGTATACCAGTAGTTTTCATCTATAAAATTAGGATCTTAAAAGTATCTGTATATTAATATTAAACTATCATTTAGACATCTAGGGAAATATTTCTATTTTTTGTTTTTCCTATATACAAGAAACCAATTGTAAAGTCCTGTTTTGGCTCTCTTGGAAATGATGAAATAGAGATAATTGGGTGTTGAATGTTGTGTGGCTGGAAGTTTTTAATATGTATGTTTAGTAGTTTTTCATTAATATTTAATAGGTACTAGAGATAGTGTGTGTGCATGTGTGTGTTTGTGGCGGCTATGCCAAGGGGGCACTGACGGGTGATGCTGACATTGGAGTGCATCTGAGGCTGTTGTAGACGTAACATGGGTCATTGATTACAACATTGCCAATGATTATAACCCAAGAACAGCTCACCTAATTAGCCGAACACCCTAAAATCTCTAACAGGTTCATGAAACATGGTCCTGTGATCTGATCCAAAAGAGCCTAGTGTACATTAGCTAATATTGATATTTTTTAGAATAAAACTTGGTTACTAGTTTTTAAAAATAGAGAAAATGTTTGCCTTTAGTAAATTGATAAATTTAATAGATGTATTAAGTTAGGTAAATGACAGTAATATCCTACATAGGATTCGAAGCAGCTATTTTTGTCTTTGGTGCTGTGTTTTCAGTATGCATTTATTATCTGTGACACTTGTAAAAAACCCTGGGACCACCACTGTCTTGTCAAAAGCAGTACTACTATGGGGCAGCGCCTGTGGCTTAATGTGTAGAACACCGGCCCCATATACCAAGGGCTGCAGATTCGAACCCAGCCCCGGGCCAAAAAATAGCCGGGCATTGCAGTGGGCACCTGTAGTCCCAGCTACTTAGGAGGCTGAGGCAAGACAATCACTTAAGCCCAAGAGCTAGAGGTTGCTGTGAGCTGTGACACTACAGCACTCTACCAGGGGTGACAAAGTGAGACTCTGTCTCTAAAAAGAAAAAAAAAAGGTAGTACTACTGTGGTATAAAAAGTAACATAAAAAGATCATTAAGGTAGACCAGTAAAGCAATCGGATATCTATTTTCTTGAGAGAAATGTTACACTGAATGACTATTAGAAGTATACTAAAACAACCCACTATTTTTTTATTTCTACATACATTTGTGAATAATGTAAATTTATCTACTTTCACTAGGACTATTAAAATAATGAGGAAAGGACACTTAACAGTTTTAAGATTTGTGTTTGTATTAAGACTCATCAGTTCATTAGTATTTATTCAGCTAAGTTTTTTTTGAGTCATACTATTTGGGAGCACTGGTTTCAAGAATTCTTAGGAGGGTTAATTTGTTGTGGCTTGCATTAGTTGTTAGAAGTTTCCCAAGGAAAATAATGGAAAGGGGGTAGGGGAGTTGAGATGCCTGAGATTTTTATTATCGCACTCATTCCATAATGAAATCATTTGGACAGTTTAGTGAATGTTTTTTTTCTAGTTCAGATAACAGATTGTTTATTTTAATGAGAAATATTGAAAGACTCTTGTTCTGCAGGAAGCTGTGTGGTTCCTCTCTAACATCACTGCAGGAAATCAGCAGCAGGTTCAGGCAGTAATTGATGCCAATCTGGTACCAATGATAATACACCTTTTGGATAAGGTAAGAAAATCATCTTGTATGTATCTGGGTAAGGAAAAAGGGATTTAAATCTAATAAATTGTGTGAATGTATACTTTCCTATTTAATTAGAATCTATATAGTGGCATGAATACTACAGTAAGGTAGTATTTTTTTTTTTTTTGAGACAGAGTCTCACTATGTCTCCTTCAGTAGAGTGCTGTGGCATCATAGCTCATAGCACCTAAAACTCTTGGGCTTAAGCGATTCTCTTGCCTCAGCCTCACAGGTAGTTGGGACTACAGGTGCCTGCCACAATGCCCAGCTATTTTTGTTGTGGTGGTGGTGGTAGTTGTTGTTTAGCAAGTCCGGGCTGGGTTTGAACCCACCAGCGCCAGTGTTTGTGGCTGGCGTCCTAACCCCTGAGATGTGGGTGCTAAGCCAGTAAAGTAGTATTAATACTAAAAATTTTTGAAACTAAGTTCTTACATACAAAAGCTTGAGAGGAAGGGAGCCCTGGCCCTTTTTCTGGATCATTCTTTTACCAAAATTGCTGTATCCTGGGACTTAGTAAAAATTATAATTATTACTGGTACTAAATGTGTGTTATTCTAAGCACTATACACGTACTACATGTTACTTCAGATGATAATCCAATGTAGGTAGTGATTATCCCCATTCTACAGATGAAGAAACTGCTGTAGACAAATGCACAAAATTGAATAGCAAGTAAATGTTGTATTAATAGCGTGCCATATCACCTCTCATGCTCATATTAACATTTAGAAAAACTCTTTACAATGTCAGTCATAGCAGGAGAATGCTTTCTCAGCACTACTCTATAATTGAAGGGAAGTTATCCCAATATCTTCTGTTCCACATGTCCTGAAAATTGGTAGATCTAGTTTAGCTTTTTGGACAAGAATGAGTACTTCATGGACGACTCTGTACTTAACAGTTCACATCAGGAGACATATGTTGTCCTAATCACATCTAGTGATCTTAAGATTGATGAGTGACCTCAGGTGTCATCAGCCTATTCCAGCTGATGATTATAAGGTAATCCATCAATCTCTGACTTATGGTTTTTAAGTCATCCTAGATGATCATTGCCTGGATCCCTTGTTTCACTAGGAGTTGTAAGATGATGACTTTCTAATTCTTAACATTCTTTATGTATTATTGGCCATACTTCTTTAGGAAATAGCTTTTTCTTTATCAACTATTGGTTACTCTGAAATAAAATTCATATAGGGAAGGCAAGATAAGTGTTTGATTCTTTCTCCTTACCAGTCATTTTATACTGGCATGCATCTCTCACAACCTTGAAAAGAGACCAGAATTAATTTTTTTTTAACATCATTAGGAAATTATTAATTTTTAAATATATTTTGCAAGTTTTAGTTCATTTTAGTTGTTACTTTTTTTGTTTGTTTTTTGAGACGTAATCTTGCTCTCTTACACAGGCAGCATGCTATCCCAGCTTGCTGCTTCCTGGAACTCCTGGGCTCAGTCGATCCTTAGCCTTCTGAGTAGCTGGGACTACAGGCACATGCTACCATACTGAGCTAATAGTTTCTTTACTTTTTGTGTGTGTGTTGTTGTTGTTGTTGTTTTTAAAGATGGATCTTGCTTTGTTGGCCAGGCTGGTCTCGAGTTCCTATCCCCAAGGCCCTCTTCTGTCTTTGCCTTCCAAAGTGCTGGGATTACAGGCATTAGCCACCACTGCACCATACCCAGCCTAGTTATTGTTTTTGAAACTTAAGTTTCCTTCACCAATGGGAACTTCTTAAAGTTGGTGCTTGTATCTTTATTACATCCCCTAATGATTTGAGACTAATCAGATTTCCGGGTGTATCTTGTATGTCTTCTGACATAGACCTAGAGTGAACTATTTTTCTAGGGTATCTTGATTGATTTTTGTAGGGAGTGGTGTTTAAGGATCATAATTTAGGTATAAGGGAGATTATTATTATAAGATTGTCATTATTTCTAGGCCAGAACAAACAAAATAAATGATAAGTATTTTTATGGTGAAGGATGATGAGTTCAGGAACATGAGAATTCATTTAGAAATCAAGAATGAAAAGTTATCAAATATTAACTTGGCTCCTATGGCACAGTGGTTACAGCACTGGACACATGCACCGAGGGTGGTGGGTTTAAACCCGGTCCAGACCAGCTAAACAACAATGACAACTGCAGCAACAACAAAAAAAATAGCCAGGTGTTGTTGGTGAGTTCCTCTAGTCCCCGCAGCTACTTGGGAGGCTGAGGCCAGAGGTTCGCTTGAGCCCAAGAGTTTGAGATTGCTGTGAACTTGATGCCACGGCACTCTACCAACGGCAACAAAGTGAGACTGTCTCAAAAAGAAAAGTTATCAAATGTTACTGGATATTTTAGACAACAGGGGTTTTTTTCCTTAATTTTTTTTAATTGTATGTTTCCATCTCTTTTACTCTTACTGCTGAAAATCTTCCTAAAATCATGAACTTACTGATACATAGAGAGCTATAGAGACATACCAGTATACATTATTTTTAGGTACATCATTGATGACATGTACTAAAGACAAAAACTCTGCTGATTTTCCTCATTAAGAGATGAAAATATAAATACATATTTTATATATTTTATGTATAAATATGTATTTAAAAATATCAAATAACAAGATCGTATTGCCACTAACAACATGGCTACTGAATGTGCTTTTAAGATTTCTTTGGAGGTAATTTTGTTTTTAGGATATAGTCCATCAATGGTGTTCTTAAAAATAATGTCATTTGTATAGCACTGTATAGAGAGCTTCCTTGTTTCTTGTTTTTTCCCTACATAGTACAGTGTATTTGGTCATTTGAGATGTCTTAGGTGTTTTGCTGTTAAATCATACTTTACAGGCCAGGCATAGTGTCTCATGCCCTGATTCTAGCACACTTTGGAAGGCCAAGGTAGGAGGATTGCTTGAACTCAGGAGTTCAAGACCAGCCTAAGCAAGATCAAGACCCCGTCTCTACTAAAAAATAGAAAAACTAGCTAAGCATTGGGTCCCAGCTACTCGGGAGGCTGAGGCAGGAGGATTGCTTAAAACCAAGAGTTCAAGGTTGGAGTGAGCTATCTATGATGAAGCCACTGCACACTAGGCAGGGCAACAGAGGGATACTCTGTATCAAAAAAAAAAAAAAAAAAAAGACTTCATAGAATAGCTTGTGGTTGGGCCTGGTGTTTCGGGTCTAATCCCAACACTTCGAGAGGCTAAGGCAGGAGGAATGCTTGAGGCCAGGGGTTTGAAACCAACCTAGGCCAACAAAGTAAGATCCCTTCTCTAAAATTTTGAAAATGAGCTGGACATGGTGGCACACACCTATAATCCCAGCTACTCAGAGGGCTGAACCAGGAGAGTAGCTTGAGACCAAAAGTTTAAGGTGTAGGGAGCTGTGATCATGCCACCACACTTAAGCCTGGGTGACAGAGTGAGGGCTTAAAATTTTTTTTGCCCAGTTATATTGGGGATTACTGGATTAATAATCAAATGTGTATGTAAATTTTGCCATTATAATGCTAGTTCCTTTCTGTAAAGATAGCATTTTGTACTCCTACCAGTCTCACTGACAAATACTTGGATTTTCTTTTTTTTTTTTTTTTTTAAGACAGACTCACTATGTGGCCCTCAGTGGAATGCTGTAGTGTGGTTGCTCACAGCAACCTCAAACTCCTGGGCTTAAGTGATCCTCTTGCTTCAGCCTCCCAGGTAGCTGGGACTGTAGGCGCCCACTGCAATGCCTGGCTATTTTGTTCTGTAGGCGCCCACTGCAGATGCCTGGCTATTTTATTATTGTTGTTGTTTTGCAGGCCCCGGGCTGAGTTTAAACCTGCCAGCTCCAGCGTATGTGGCCAGCTCCCTAACCACTGAATGATAGGCACTGAGCCTATTTGGATTTTCTTAATCTGATAAATATGAAAGAATATCACTGCTCAGCACAGTGGTTATGGAGCCAGCCACATACACAGAAGTTGGCAGGTTCGAACCCGCCCCGAACCTGGCCCGGGCCAGCTAACCAACAATGACAACTGCAACAAAAAATATCTGAGGGTTGTGGTGGGTGACTGTAGTCCCAGCTACTTGGGAGGCTGAGGCAAGAGAATCGCTTGAGCCTAGGAGTTTGAAGTTGCTGTGAGCTGTGACGCCATAGCACTCCACTGAGGGCGACATAATGAGACCCTTGTCTCAAAAAAAAAAAAAAAGGATATTACATGTGGATTTCATTTATTTGTATGTTTTGTCTTAATATATCATAAGCATTTTTCCAGGTTGCTAGTCTTCTTAATATTTAATAGCTGATTGGGGGCAGCACCTGTGGCTCAAAGGAGTAGGGCATAGGCCCCATATACCAGAGGTGGCAAGTTCAAACCCAGCCCCCGCCAAAAACTGAAAAAAAAAAAAAAAAAAAAGTAAATAAATAATATTTAATAGCTGTTTGTTATTTAATTCAGTAGATTTACTGTTAAAGTCAGTTATGCCTATTGAAAATTTTAGTTGCTTTTACTTTTTGGCTATCGTGATGCAACTCTGACTATATACACAGTAATGTATAATATTCTAAATAATTTTCTTAGTAAATTCTCAAGCGAGATTACAAAGTTTTACATATTATGACTTATAAAGTGATTTTTAAATTTTTTTTATATTTGAAAGACAGTATTTAACATTTCTATCGCAGTTTCATCAATGGTGAAGGGTATTCATGTTTTTAAAGTTCGTGTTTAAGAGGGTATGTTATTTTAATTTGACTCTGATTATAATGATACGGTAAATTTTTTCAATTTTTTGAAAAATTTTATTTATCAACTTGGTTAATCTGATATTATTAAACAGTAATTATTAAGCCAGTTTTTTTTCTAGGAATCTCCATGTGTTCAAGGGTAGATTGAATATAGTTCAAAGAAAGACTAGATGGAAATCTGGGGAAATAAACATTTGGAAAATTATTTCAGGAAACATTTCTTCCAGTTAACCCTTTATTGCAGTTCATGTAGTCTGTTGCTTTGCTTTTTTACAGGGGGATTTTGGCACTCAGAAAGAAGCTGCTTGGGCCATAAGTAACTTAACAATTAGTGGAAGGAAAGATCAAGTAAGTTGTGCTTTTATTTTTATTAAAACTGGGAAAAATATAGGTATAGATAATGTTAAGGTTTAAAGTAAATTATAATTTAAAGTATTAGCACGGTAAAAGCTATTCTGTGACTTTTTCATACAGAAGTATCACTTTGACTTCCTTTAGTCATATATCATAGAAGAGAATTATTCTTTTCCAATATGTTGGTCTACAAAAAGTTTTCCAGTCTATGGTAAAATTGAGCCCCATGGGGGGGGGATAGTTTTTTTAACAGTGTTAAGAAAGAACAGATTTTTAGGTTAATATGGCAGAAGGAAACTGACTCACAGATTCTTCTAACAAACAATACAAAAGTACAAAGATGGTAATTAAGCACAAACAAATTCACCATTATTAGCAAACCAAACAAAGAACTAAGCTAAACCATGTGGCTAGGACTAGGAACTAGGGTAAGGAATGTGAAATAGGGTCTAAAATGTAAGTGGGCACTCACTGTTAGGGTCTTTCGGGTGACAAGCTTACCTGCCAACTGGCAAAGGAACGTAACGTTAAAGGGCTTAGATCTGTTTCTCAGAGCAGGTAAAAAGAGTGAATTTAGAACTGAGTAACAGTGAATTGACAACTGTGACAAGCTGTTGACTAGTGGTGATCAGTGAATCCATGTAAACATGGAAATAATAACTAATAAGTGTGAGCCAGGTGTAGTGGCTCATACTTCTAATTCCAGCACTTGGAAGGCCGAGGCGGGTGGCTTGCCTGAGCTCATGAGTTCAAGACCAGCCTGAGCAAGAGCAAGACCCTGTCTCTAAAAAATAGCTGGGCGTTGTGGTGGGCGCCTGTAGTCTCAGCTAATTTAGGAGGCTGAGGCAAGAGAATTGCTTGAGCCAGCCTTTGGCTGACCCCATTCGTATAACTGCAGTAAATGGTACTTGTCATTTTGGGGAAAAAAAAAAAAAAAAGAGAGAATCGCTTGAGTCCAAGAGTTTGAGGTTGCTGTGAGCTGACACCATGGCACTCCACCCAGGGCGACAAAGTCAAACTCTATCTCAAAAAAAAGAACATATTACGAAAATAATAGAATGGTGAATTGAGAGGTAGCCAGGTTTGTGAGAGTACTAAGTATTCAGGTAGAGTGCCTGAATGCTGTCACATTGAACCACTGCAGTTTTGTTTGTTTGTTTGTTTTGTTTTTTTGCAGGTTTTGGCCGGGGCTGGGTTTGAACCCACCACCTCCAGCATATGGGGCCAGCGCCCTACTCCTTTGAGCCACAGGCGCCACCCACCACTGTAGTTTTTTTATTATTTAATTTTTACCGATGCTCCTAGTTGATAACTTGGCAGACAAGTTTTTTAAAAATAGCATTTCAGCCTCCATTAATAGCCTCTTTAACTAATTTCATAATTTCTTGCTATTAAAGGGGAAAAGATCTTTTAAGATCTTTTTTGTTGTTCATTAGTTGGGAGAATCTGTGAGTCAGTTTCTTTTTGCCATATTAACCTAAAAATTCTGTTCTCTTTTTTAATGGTGTTAAGTACACTTTTTATGGTAGAGATGTTTATCATGAACTTGAATGACTCCTTCATTTTCACTTAAATTTCTTTTTTCTCAAAATTAGAGGGGAAAAAAACATAAATGAAAACGAGGTTAAATTTATAGTGTAGACTCACTTAACATGGGAGAAATTAAGTCATGTTTCCATGCTTAAAATTTAAAAATCAGATTATTCCAGTGAGAAAATGTGGCACATAAAGTTCACCCTCATGTTATTTTTTTATGTTGTGTTTATTCTTCAGGTGGCCTACCTTATCCAACAAAATGTTATCCCACCTTTTTGCAACTTGCTGACTGTAAAAGATGCACAAGTTGTGCAAGTAGTACTCGATGGACTAAGTAATATATTAAAAATGGCTGAAGATGAGGCAGAAACCATAGCCAATCTTATAGAAGAATGTGGTGGTAAGTTTACTGTGAGCTGTTATTCTGCATTTTAATGTTCGTTTTGTAACTACCTTTATTTTCTGACTAATAGAGCACTTGTGTATTTGTCTGTCTTAGGTAATCAAATAACAAAACAAAGTAAATACTATATTCAGTATGTACAGTCCTGCTCAGCCTCTTGCATATGCTTAGGTAACTGAATTGCTGTCATATATTGAACAGCCACTGTGCTGAGATAATGGGAAGACAGTGGTAAACAAGGCACAGTCCTTGCCCTCAAGGCATATAGTTTAGTCTTAAAGATAAATATGAACTGATTTAATGTGCTAATTACCCTAATAGAAATATACAGCAAAATGGGATGCCTAATCCATCCTGGAAGAAGCAGGAAGTGACACCTGAGCTGGATTTTGAGAGATGAATAAGGATTAATAAAGTAAAAAGGGATGAAAGGTGTTCCAGGCAGAAATAACACCATGAGCAAAGTCTGAGGTGAGAAATAGCATTCAGCAAAATTATAAGTAGTTTAGTATTGCTGAATCACAAAGTATGGGATAGATTCTGCCAGGAGATAAAGCTAGAGAAGTATCCAGTAACCAGACCACTGCAGTCTTACAGGCTTTGCAGCACAGAGTGCTGTTATTCTGTAGGTTAGTAGTTTCCAAATCAGGCTGTGTAACAGAGCCACCTAGAATGTTAACAATGTGTGGTCACTTCACCTCTTAGAGTTTGTGTATAGACAAAACATGGAAGTCTGAAATGTGGTTGTGGTACAGAATCTAAATGTTATCAATCTGGATAAGCATAAAAGTAAAGGTGTTTCTGATAATAAGTCAAGAAGTGAATGAAAGAGAGGTAACTGCAAGAGAGAGAGTTAAGAAGCTTGAAAATTAATCTAACAAGAGATCTATTTAATTTACTAAAGCAACTAATAGAACAACAAAAGATAATGCATAACTGTCCAGTTAGAAACAAAAGGTGGGGAATAGAGCTAGGGGACTAAGTAGAGAGTAAGTACCAGAAAAATTAACATTTATAATTGATTATTTTTAATACTTGATTTTTCTTACCATGTAAATATTTTAATTTTTCATAATATTTTATCTTTATATATTAAAATAAAAATACAGGTTCTTGAGCATTTTCTACCTCACTGTAGAGGTAAGACCCAGGAATCTGTATTTCATAAGCTCCCCAATGGATTCTGCCATAGTGTGACAGGCGGTTGGAGGGTTTTACCCATGGGATTAGCATATTCAGATGGACACAGCTGTCTGGGGGATGGGGCCATTGGAGGCAGGGTAACCAGTAGGAGAGTATATAGTGCTCAGGCCACAGTAAATGAAGAGAATGATAATAGAGATGAAGGGGAAGTGACAAGAGTCAAGAAATGGATAGACTTTTGAGGTTTTTGAGATTTGATTGTGGGATATTAAGAGAAAGCAGACCTTGGGCTTTCTCTCAGACTTCAAGCTGTTGCTGATGATCACTCAGTAAGAATACAATCATAGTACAGTTTAAATGAGGAAGGCAAATAATAAATGGTGTTTAGACAGTTTGAGTTGTATATGCCTATAAAATGCTCTGGTGGAATTCTGATGCAAGTGTTTGAATTTTACACATGGGAAGCTCAGAGGAGAAGTGAAGCTGTAGATTTGAAAGTCCTCAGCCTACATTTAGTAGCTAAACTTGTTAATGGAAGGATCATCAAAATGATAGTATATAGAGTGAGATAGGAGCCCAAGGTAACTTCCTCCATTTAAGGAATGGATGGAGGAAGAACACTCATGAAGGGGCTATTTCCCTTTGTTTCAGAGACATTAGAATTATTTCCCCTTTAAAGTAAAACAAGGTCAGATTTGCATTTTAACAAGTTAAATGCGTGTGTATACATATATGTGTGTTTGTATGTGTATATATATATATACATACACACACTATCTTTAATGTTTCTGCATATGATTTATTAAGCTCCGTGTTTACAGGGAAGTTCTCTTTTTCCCATGAAATACTGTATTTGACGTTGATCATTTTCTAGTATATTTAACAGGTGTCTTAGCATCATATTTATTAATCACCAGTATTTTAAATTTTTTATTCATACATGCTCAACTTGGCAGATGTTAGAAAGTGGGAAGATTCTGCTTTTTACTTTATTTATTTATTTATTTTGAGATAGAGCCTCAAGCTGTTGCCTGGGTAGAGTGCTCCGGCATCACAGCTCATAGCAACCTCCAACTCCTGGGCTCCAGCGATTCTCCTGCCTCCACCTCCCAAGTAGCTGGGACCACAGGCACCCACCACAATGCCTGGCTATTTTTTGGTTGCAGCCGTCATTGTTGTTTGGCAGGCCAGGCTGGATTCGAACCCACCAGCTCAGGTGTATGTGGCTGTCACCGAGCCTCTGCTTCTTACTTTTAACAAATAAAAGCAGTTTTATATGTAATGATTCTTTATAAACATAGGTTATGTATTATTTTGAATAGATAGAAGTCCCATTGCTTTTTTTATACGATTACATGCAGTTAAACACTCCAGTTGTTTAGGGATGGATGTTGTTGTTAATTTTTGTTAATTTTGTTAATTTTTTCAGTTATTAATTTTTAAAGATAAACAGGTGTCTTTATGCTTAAAATCTTTTATATTTCAGTTACATCTTTAGAATAGATTTCTAGAAATTGTAATCCAAAGAGTTTGCAGTCCAAAATTGGATTAAATGTGTTGTCAACATTATTGTAACTTGTCTCTACTTTTTAAATATTACAATCGTTTCACTTCATAAAATTTCTTGCAGGTCTGGAGAAAATTGAACAACTTCAAAATCATGAAAATGAAGACATCTACAAATTGGCTTATGAGATCATTGACCAGTTCTTCTCTTCAGATGATGTATTTAATAATTTTGTATTTTTCTTAGTTTTATATATAAACATAAGTTTGGATGAAATAGTATAGTAAGCTAGAGGATATTCATGTATGTATTTTTTTGGAATGGAATTAAGATGGATGTGTGACAGTAACGTCACTTTGGAAACATAATTATTTCAATATTTTTAAATCCCTTAAGGACATATTAGCTCTAATGGCAGAAAGATAAGGATTTTTTGATACTGGATAAGTGAGGCCTTATTTTCACTATATGTATTTATTGGTCTCATTTGTTTTAATTTTTAGTAGTATTACATGTTTATAGACAGAACAGTAATGCTAGTATATGCTATATTACATTCTTCATGACAATAGTTAATCTACACTTAAATGTATTGCTTTCATCACCAAAACCAAACATGAAGATAATAAGTAGATAAAATAAAAATAAATCATCAAAAAAGATCAGGCACTATACGGTTAAGGTACAGTATGCTAAAGTATCTTTAGATTGTCAGGAGGTAGTAGAAATTTTAGTGTTGCCTCTTTGGAAAAGTAGATCTAAAATTAAAGCCCTTACTCCTAACCTTATAATAGTTAGATACAGCCACCAATGGATTTCTTGAATAATTTCTTAACTTTAAAAAAAATGAATTTTATACTAGATACTTTTCCACATTATCAAAAGAGAATGGAATATTATTTTGTTAAGCATCTATCATTTGACCATTGACCTGATAAGGACAATACTAGAAAAGATTTACTTCCAGATGTCCAGTGTTAGTTAAATAAATCAGAGGAGCCATATTATTTTAAAGATGGTTTTAATCACATACCTTCAAGTTAGATTTTTTTGGAAATCCTAATTTGCAATGTGATGACTAACTGCAATAAGTTAACAAAGACTTGGGATTTCTAGTACCTCAACATCCAGTTCTCTGTTCCTGTCTTACATTGTACAAAGAATAATTGAGATGATGTTATAGGTTCTATACCGTAGCTGTGTAATTCTGAATTTCAAAAAGAACCTTTTGATACAGCATGTAGAATATTATTTTAAGCCCAAATACTATTTTTCTCCAATTGCTATTAAAAGGTTAAACAAAAATTACATCACTTTCCAAAACTGGTGGCATTAACTTTTTTGTCATCAACTTTATCTTTCTACTCAAGTGCAAAGGATATTGTGGTGAGTACCAATGTGTACCCTCTCAGCTTGAGACTAGGACCATCTCCCAAGGATTACTGCTCTTTCATTCTTTTGGAAGAGGTCTAGCCTGTGTATTCTCTTAAGTTTCTTATTATTTTGGCATCCCTTAAGAAAAAGCCTTTACAAGGTAGTTCTGCTTTCTAAAGGATGGTAGGACAGTATCAGCACTTATCTTGTACTAAAGGAGGGTAATGTTATTTATATACATAATATATTTTAAAAGTAATCATCACACTTTTTCTTACCTTTTTTTTTTTTTTTTTTTTTTTACCTAGATTGATGAAGATCCCAGCCTTGTTCCAGAGGCAATTCAAGGTGGAACATTTGGTTTCAATTCATCTGCCAATGTACCAACAGAAGGGTTCCAGTTTTAGAAAGATGTTGTGGAAGTTAGGTACAATGCAGCACTGAGATATATATATATATATACATATATATAAAAAGGTTTGATCCATCAAGCTTGGCTCATGGGATCTGCTGCTGCATTAAATCGGGAAAGAAAATGTGAAGATTTCATTTGGAATCACAGAAAATGCCCAAATGAGGTCAAGATGGCGAGTGGGTGCGAGTGAGAATGAGTGGCAAAATGTAACGAAAACTTTACATGAATGCTTATTTAGGTTGTTCAAAGTAAAAAGGGCTACAGGTCACAGATCTTCAGTGCCTGAGAAGGAACATTGACTTACTCTTATCAATTGAGGAGAAAGTGCAGTACTGTCATCTTAAGCCTTGTAAGCATAAAAGAGAACAGGATGCCCATATAAGTCAAAGGAAAATGAGCCCAGGCCTTGCTATGAAGCAATGTGTGAGTGGACAATGTTGAGTGAATGTCTGGCTCAGTGATGGGGAGCCAGGTTCATCTTTCAAATCTAGGGCTCTTCACTCATGAAGCAGACTCCTAGTCCTGGAGTGACTGTGTACGAGAGTGTGGTTGTGGTGCTGTATGTGAACGCATGCAAGCTTGATTCACCTTCAGGGGGCTAACAAACCTAGTAAATCATCAAAATGAGATCCTAAGTGTTAATGTACACTGGACGTGAAAACAAAGACCGGTTTAGCAGCAGACATTGGTTTACTCTGCAGCCTGTGTTTTCTATTTTCCCTCTTCCCTTTTCTCACCTCCCTCCCTTTTTTTTAGTTTTTATTTACTTTACTTAGTATGGCTTTTTTTAGTTGCTTCTCAAGTCAGAAAACTTTTCAGGAAGGTTTCCCTGTGCATTTGCACCAGATGAATGTTTGATGCTATGAAAAGCTTTCCATATCATCAAAACTAATTTGTGTAGATTTTTGCATGAAAAAAAATCATAAATTTCCCTCCAAATAGACTGTGTTGCAGTACACAAGTTGCCATAATAGTATAAAACAGTAAAATGTGCTTCAGAGGCCATCCTTTTCATTTTCAGAGATAACATAAAGATCTTTGCATGAGGTAAATCTACAGCATAGTTCATTTTTAGATTTTGTTGAGTCCTGTAAAGAAGAAGAAGAAAAAAGTTTCAGTTGTGGTAGAATACCGTGCTGTGTTTAAATGTTACTTGTTTTCAAACTTTGTTTTCTATGAAAATGATATGGAAACTTCTAAAATGGAATTTGGTGCATATGTACTGCTGAATAAAGACCGATGAAGAGGTTTGAGTAGATGTACAAATCAAGTAATGGTTTGAACACCTTTAATAATATGCCTAATCTGTTCAATTGTTTTAGAATCTTTTTATCTTAGATGTAGGCAGCCATGAACAATCTATTTTGAGCCACTTTAGGGAGAAAACTTTGTATTTTTAAAACTTGCATAAAAGTTATGCAAGTGGTTTTTATAAATTGGAATAATACCTCAGTTTCGAGGTCATGCACACTAAATTAAATGTGACATAAATTAATTTGTACAAAAAGAACTCTTTATAAGGTGGCTCATTGTAGGAAATCCTGTGCCTTCCCCTTTGAGCACAAGTGTTGCATGAACAACAGTTTGCTATAAGAAACATACCAGATTAGCCACCATTAGCATCTATATCTACTTTGTGTTTAAAAATCAACTGGTAATTCTGAAACACTGTAGAATGGATAAAAATTATTTTGTGATCATAACTCTTTGTTGAACTAGAGTATTTTTGCAGCATTCCTTGTCATCAGAAACATGGTTAAAATTTAAAACTAGAAGCAGCAGAAAACTAGCTTGTAAAATTTATCCAAGTAGAGTGCAGGCTAGGCTGTCTTGGGGAAATAAACATTAAAACTTAAAGCAATGTTTTACATGGGGTGTGTGTGTGTGGTGTGTGAATTTTTTTTGTATTAATGTAAAGCTGGAGTATAATCCAATGGCTTATACTAGCTTCTTGTCTTTCTAAGTTTTTACTTAGAACCAGCATAACAGAAGAAATTTCATAGGTTCTGTAATTTCAGTATGAACATATTAATATTAGCCCACTGAATGCATTCATTTGACACCGTATATGCTTCTGCTTTCTCCCTATCCGAGCCAAGGTGTTGAGCTTCCTTCACGCTCCAGCAAGGTTGAAAGAGACAAAGGAGCTGTGTCTTTAGTATTACTGTAACTTCAACATACGGCTCCAAATGTTGCATACAAGTGTGATTTTTACCAAAGGCTGTAGTTACTGCAAGGTGAACATAACAACAGCTTCACATGATTTGTGTTTTTTAGTAAACAAAATCTGAAGTAAGCCTAAGAGCTTGTAGTAGGCCGAGTTATTTCATAGAATTACTCTTCTTACATGTAAGATAGGGTGGAGTGATTTTAAGAACTGAGTTACAAGGGCTAGCTGATAGTCTAAAGATTTTATTTCTTCCTGTTATCTCATATAGGACATTGATAGTCTAGGAAGGGCTTAATTGTTCAGCACAGTTAATAGTTCAGCAGTTACCTGGTTTAAACACAACTCTTTCTTAATTCTTCAGTGATTTAGGAAATGGATTCATTTTTATCTACAGACAGTTATTTCTGATGAAAAAAATGGAAGAAGCCTAATAAGCTAAATATTCCTAACTTTTTCGAGCATTGAGCCCTTTGCAAATGCTATAAAAGTAGTAATATTATGTTAAAGGTGTGTAGGAAGCCCTAGCCTAAAATCTTTAAACATATTATTTCCTTTCTAATTTTCAACAACTTCGGTTAACTGTTGTAGTGCAATTAATACTTTACACAGTGCCCTGGACCAAACCTTGGAACATTTCTATAATTGAAGCTATCCACTAATCATTAAAACTACATCAGAAAGAACTTTGAGGAGGGGATGTATCATTTAGTTTAGGCTTTCTTCAATTCATTGGCTGAGGGGTGGTTTCTTAAAACATATAACTGAGTTTATTGTCACATTGATGTAATATGAGCACCCTTTTTGGATTCTCCATTGCCTCAGTTCCCTCAAGGAAAATGTTACAAAATTTAAGCTAAGTTTTACTTTTAAAGTCTAATTGCTGTGAGATTGTTACGTGCTTAGCACAAATTTAGTATTTTAAAACACAACATACGCTATTTCATAGTTGCTTTGACATGTCCAGAAATGGTCCTCTGCTCAGGGTCTCACGAGGTTGCACAGGTGTCGGCCAGAATCCATCCCTGGCAACTTGATTCTTCAAGACTAGTTGGATAGGCCAGGTGCAGTGGCTCACACCTATAATCCTAGCACTCTGGGAGGCCAACCTGGATGGATTGCTTAAGTTTAGGAGCTGGGAAACCAGCCTGAGCAAGAGCCAGACCCTGTCTCTACTAAAAATAGAAAAACCAGCCCAGTGTAGTGGCACATCTGTAGTCCCAGCTACTGGGGAGGCAAGAGGATCGCTCCAGCCCAAGACTTTGAGTTTGCTGTCAGTTGTGATGCCACAGCAGTCTACCCAGGACAACAAAGTGAAACTCTCCAAAAATATGTCTGTAGACAGAGCTGGATAATCTCTGATCTTAGGGAATACCCTAAACCCTTTTTTAAAGGTCTTGTTTGATTAAATCAGTTCCTGCCCCTCATGATCTTCCTTTTGATTCACACAAAGCCAAACTAATTAGATGCTGTAATTATACCTGCAAAATCCCTTTGCCTGTTGTCCAGTCACAGGTAATATCCCTCTTATTCACAGATTCTGCCCACACTCAAGGGAAGGAGCTATATGGGGGCTTGTATACCAAGAGTATGGGAAGCCGTCTAAAGAGTTCTGCCTACCACTGGGAAGTATTAATGTGTAGAACTGGAACAACTTAGAAATGGTCATATAGTATAAGCTTGCTTTTGGATCATAGTCACTTGTGAGAACCAAAATCAATACTCCAGTTTCCCTACAAATGCATGTCTTGTGTAAATGCTCAGTTTTCCTTACGTTATTGGGATTGTCAGGAGTCCGTGAATTATAAACTACGAATGATCTGCCTCAGCCTGCCCCCCCCACCCCACCCCTTTCCGGCGATAGAGTTGTCAAGAAGTGCCAAAGCCACATCCCTAAAGTTCAGGTAGGGGCCCAGGTCTCAACTAATGCCCACTGTTTTCCAAATAATGTTCTAGAAGTCATCTAAATTTGTTTACATTTGTGAACAAACATAAAAAATGTTCATATAGCTTTTTCTATCCTATATACTGAGGAATGGCATTAGTATGGTAGAAATTTTTAAGATCTTCCTTACAGCTATTAAGAAGGTGAACTAGAAACAGGCTGACTTAGCTTTAACCAAAAGCAATTACCAGTTAACTCCTGAGATTCGGTGGATTGTTCACCCATTTATGTATAAAATTTCAGTTAGAATCAGTTGACTATCAGAGGCCATGATATCTATGCATTGTATCTTTTTTGCTGTTTGATTATTGGCAAAATTCATGAAATGTCAAGCAATTTAATATGAGGGGGAAAGTTTGCACAGACATCCAACGCAATATTCTCAAACACAGAACTAGCAAATTCATGTTTAACCAACTTGACATTTTGAACATTTAAAGGGAAAAATTTTTTTTAAACTTTTTAGTGAGCACATTAATAAAATGTATGCTTTTAAAGAAAGTAACAGTAATGAAAAGTTGCATACCTTTAAATAAAATCAAGGTCCACAATCATGCCATTTATGCATTGTTAACTCAAGGAAGGTATAAAACAAAGATTGGTGAAACCTATAATCTAGTATGATCAGAGGCAACTCAGGATTGATGTGTATTTTACATAAACTAGCCTATCTGTTGTGTAGGAGAAGGCAGAACATTTTTTTCCTGAAGACTTAGCAATTGCATTAATTTTGAATAGTCTCTTTAAATCTAGCCCTGTTAGGTGACAGTTTTCATTCAGGATGTGGATGCCAAGGTGTACTGTTGATGAAACTGATTCAACAGCTACTACTTTGGGCATAAGAGCAGCTAAGTGTGAGACAAATTAACTTCCTCCAGATTCTCTGATCTCCCACCCACCGGAAGACTGTAGTACTCACTCAGACTACATTCTCTTTGCTCCAATTGCTGCCTTCTCTGCTCCACCAGCTTTGTATCTTTTGTAGTTCTGAATCTGCTGCCTGCTCCAGGTTATTTAACCTTGCCGGGCTATCAGTTCTTCCAGTTTTATTCTTTGTAAAGAAACATACGATAACTTGTTCCGCTTCTATTTTTCTTTGTGTTCTTCCCTGACTGTATCTTAACTCTTGATCTGTATAGCTGATGGATTCTGTAACTATGGTTACTCTCTAATTTTACCCAAGATTTCTGTCAGCCTGTTTTTACTCTTTGAAACAACTGTCTGATAATCTGCTTAAGTCCACGTGCCTTTTGTGGCGCTGGCGGTCTCCAGTTACCTGCCTTTCAGGTACCTACCTCAGTGTCTCCATTTCTCTGATTCTTGAGCCCTGTGAGCCATGCTTCCCCATCCTTTGAATGTAGTTACCATTTTACTCTTTTTAGGTACAGTGATCATATCCAGCTCTCAAACTCGGCTAAAGAAGGCATTTTCATTTAAAAAATAAAAATAAAGACTCACAGTGTGACTAATACTGTGATGGGGGAGATGAAGGTAAGCGTGTTCACTCCAGTGGTACTGTCAGACTTCTTGTACCTTTGGGGTTGTCCCCCTGTTCGACTCATTAGCAGAAAACATTACCTAGTCTGGATATTTTCTACCTCCAACCATTTCCTTTTGTACTTGCCAACGTGCTCCCTCCGTAAATGGGTCTATCTGCTGCAGAGCTAGTAAGCAGTGCCAAGGTGCGTCACCTGTGTGACTGGCAGTTGTGCAATGCCTGTGCTGTA